TCGTGCTTCGCAAGACGAAAAATTCGCTAGAAAAAAAAAACTCGCGGAACGAATTAATTTATCTTGCGAGGCACCACTGTATGGTTTATTGCTCCTATCTGTCTCTGTCTTCTCCTCCGGTTGTACTTCTAGTACAATGCTGGTGCTGCTGTGGTCTAAACCACTGAGCCTCTTGGGTTTGCCAATCGGAAGGTCGGCGGTTCGAATCTGTGCGATGGGGGGTGAGCTCCTGTTGCTCTGTTCCCAGCTCCTGCCAACCTAGCAATTCGAAAGCACACCAGTGCAAGTAGATAAATAGGTACTGCTGCGGCAGGAAGGTAAACTGTGTTTCCATGCGCTCTGGTTTCCATCACAGTGTTCTGTTGCACAAGTTTAGTCATGCTGGCCACATGACCCAGAAAGCTGTCTGTGGACAAATGCCGACTCCCTCAGCCTGAAGCAAGATGAGTGACACAACTCCATAATCAGCTTTGACTGGACTTAACCATCCTGGGGTCCTTCACCTTTAGCTGTCACTCCAAACCTCAACTCTAAACTCTGGCTCTGTCTTTCTAAATATCTGTGAATTGAGGGAGGGCCACAGGGTCTGTAACCTGAAGCGTATGTAACCGGAGGTATCACTGTACAAGCAAGGGCGAGACTGACTCAGGATAAGGATAAGTTTCTACAACATAGTGGCAACTTGGGTGCATGGTTCAGTCCCAGCACACTGTTCCTATTCAGAATGATTGGCAGGGTTTAGTTTGTTTGAGGAGGGAGGAGGAGGAGGAGCTAAAGCTGTCTGGTGCCCGCAGGGCAACGCTGCCCTGGCTAGCTTCTTCCAGGGCTCTCCGGGAGGGCCCTGTGCCTCCCTTTCTGTCATTCTGATTTATTAAGCGCTTCGCAAGACAAAGTCTCCCCGCACAAAACCCTTCTCTGTTCTGGAGAGGGTAATTTCCACCCAGCCCCGCCGATGTAAAAGTATCCTGGCTCTCTGCTTACCTGCCGCTGGAGTGTGTTTGGGCAGGTGCTGGGCGCCCCGTCCGTCTCTGCCATCTGACAGGCTTGATTTACAGCTGGAAAGAAAAGGGAGACTCGCTCCTCCATCTTCCTTGGTTAAACACAAACACACATACACACGTGCGCGCGCACACACAACCCTCGCCTTGCAGCCAGATAAGCTCCGTTCCAACAGTTCTGAACAGTGCTACTCCTCAACAATTATGTTTTAAGAGCGGGGTGTGAAATTGCTGCACTCCTAAGCATTCGGGATCAAGTTGCGCCCGGCAGCCTCCTGAGCACGTGTACTCAAAAGCAGGTCCCGCAGATAGCAAAAGGATTTGCTGTTGTTTTCCCCCCACTCACACGTTCTAGGGATGCTAACTTAGTGTAGACCCCATTGGCTTCATCTGCAGTTACTTCCAAGTAATCTCGGGACTTAATTCTTCCCGGACTTGTCCGTTTTAGTTGGGACTGGAGATTTGTGAAGCCATGTGCGGTTTTAATCCAAGCACATGACAGGGGTAGCTCAATAAATAGAGGCTGAGACTCTTAATCTCAGGGTAATGGGTTCGAGTCCCACGTTGGGTAAAAGATTCCTGCATTGCAGGGGGTTGGACTAGATGACCCTCAGGGTCCCTTCCAACTCTATGGTACTAGGCAGATGGTAGTGCACCGCAGTCCAGATAGGTTTCCCCGAATTTACACAGTTTTCTTCTTTAATAGGCGATTCCTCTAGAAGCCGAGATGGATTATGACAGCCTACTCAAACTCAACGCTTCGACATTATGACGATTGAAATTAATGGGACATGCTTTCAAATTCAGTCATGGTAGCTGGCATTAAAGCAATTTTGCCTCGTTCACAGCTTTATATAAATATAGCTATAGAAAATCCCGTGGGAGAATTCTCTGCAAAAGAAGCATCTGAGTGCAGCGTTGCTTACGCTTTTCCTGACAAGGCTTTGTGCTTCTGGATTCAACAGGTGAAGTTGTCCCAATTGCTGCATCTATATCACAAGAGCCAATTCCTAGGGGCCGAGGGGGGGTGGTCTTCGGCTCCCCCATAAAATATTTGACGGCCCCCTCCAAGTTGATGGGCAGTGCCATTCAAATGGTGTCATTGCACTGCATCGTGTGATCGATTATGCAGGGCCGGCCCCAATATTTTATTCAAGTTGGCACCCCTGATCTATATAGTGGGGAAACATCACCTGCTGAATTTCTGCCTGCCCAGCGGCTGTTAAAGGCACGGCAACTGGGAAGGGGCTGCTACCTAATTTGAGTGTCATGGACGACACAAGCTGCAGCCCTAGCAATGCCCCATTGAAGTCCCATTGAATTCAATGGGGGGTGCTCTCAAGTAAGTTCTCTTAGGGTTGCAGCCTTAGAATTCTATTCGTTTTCAACAGGATACCCGCAAGCGTCTCCAAACATTTTGGCTCCAACTTAAAAGCATCTCCAGGAAAAGATGCGCGGGGGGCGGCGGCGGCTTTGGGAGGCTGTTTTGCCTAAAACAGCGTCTAGCTTCTAAACAGCACTTTTAATGGAAACAATAGTCTTCTAAGGTTGGGCGAGTCTAAAGATTCTTGTGGCTTCGTTCTTGTGTTTAATGGGTATTTTTGGACTGGAAGCGAACTTGGTGCGAAATGGGCTTTGTGGGGAGGGAACGTCTCCTATTTTGCGCGTTTTGCATGGCTCACAAAGGGCCCCGATAAAATCTCAGGAGAAAAACTGACTGACACGTATTTCGTGCACGTATTTTCGTGCCTTAAGCTGCGTTTGCATAGACATACATCGTAACATGTTGTTTTATTGCTCGCGGTGAAAGAAAAAGAGACGGTTTCGCCACTCCTTCGCTAGCGTTGTGCAAACAGCCGAGTGAAGGAAGCCCTCAAGCAGACGGGAAGACGACACATAGATTCATAGAATTGTCGAGTTGGAAGGGATCCGAGGGCCATCTAGACCAACCCCCTGCAATAAAGGAATCTCAGGTAGATCATACAAGCCCCTAGGGAGGCGGCACCGTGAAACGGTCCATTTACACTCAGCTTGTCCGTTCGCCTTCAAAAAACAAGGGCAAACTTTTAAACAAAAGGCGCCGAAGAAATATTCACCTTTCCATGGAATTACGTAGCTCTCCTGCCAATGAATGAGAGATCGAGGGTTTGCTTGCTAAGAGCACAATGTAATCTCGTTCACTAGCTTGTGCGATGCTGCGCTTGATAAAGGCGCACAGCCTCGAATTGAGACCTGGCCGTCGTTTTTCAATCTGCCCACGCGAAAGTGGCCTGTTCTCTTGAGGGAAGCGGACTGTGGCTGCTGGGGAAAGGAGCGCACAGGTTTGGCACCGCTGTCTGCCGGATTGAATCCGATGAAGAAACGTGAGGAACTCCAAAGCTTGTATCTCTTTGCTTTTATACTTCGGACACTCCTGACTTAACTCAGAGAGGGTTGCTTTCATACAATGCCCTTAAGAATCGGGCTGCTGCTGTTTGGAACCAACACGATTGTGAAGGAGCGAGCGAGCAAAAGATAGCAACTTTATCAATGACGGTTGTGTCTTTGTAACAACCAGAAAATCAGCAGAGGACGTTTTGCTCAACTTCTGCAGTTCTGTTGCCTTTCCCATCCTGTTCCCATTTTTTAAAAAAATAAAAATAAAAATCGATTTTAAGGCCAGATTTCCCGTTCCCCAGCTAGATGGTTTAGAGATTTGCCTTAATGGTGATGGTGGGGGCGCTGAGGTAATGTCAAATTACTGGAACTGACAGCCGGATCCTATCGACGTCTTCTACAATGCAAGTCTTATTTGAGCTCTGTGAGATTTACTCCCAAATGTGTGTGTACAGGATTGCATCCTGAAACCATAAAAACTCCGGTTCCTAATTAAGCCAGTGTTGGAGTCGTTCTATTGAGGTAAATAGAATTCCTCCAGCGTAAGACAGGGGCAACTATCTCCTTTCCCAATCGGTTAAAACGAAGGCTGCTGTCCTAAATCTATTTACCTGAAAGTAAACTTCATTTTAAAATCAATGGTACTTACTCCCGAGTAGATGGGGAGTAGCTGCGTTGGAATTCGCTTGTGGGTGGACTCAGCTGTTCCATCCTGTGTACATTTTTCTAAATTTACCACATACTCTAAGCAGGAAAACATTCCCCGGGTCAGGTACCCGCCCTGCCGCCTGAACTGCATTCCTGAAAACGCAAACACCACCACCACCTCGAACCCAAGAGGTCATAAACAAATTGTCCCCCGACAACCTTCCTGGAGAATCTGGCAGGCGGCACAAAAGGATTAGGTTTCAACTCTGGCTTGTCCCTGGCGAAGCGGTCTTTCGCTGTCCACGCCTCCGCCCGTCCCGTCGAATATTTTGCGTTTTGAGTAAGAGTGAAGTCGAGGCTACAATCCTGTACACACTTAGAACTAAGGCCGCTGAACTCACTGGCGTTTGCTTCTGAGTCGACGTGTGTAGGAATGCACGCTGTCAGGCATCCTAAGATCTTTCCAAAAATGGTTCTAGGCTTGGCAGAATGCAACAATTGTCCGCCGCCGCCGCCTTTGACTACAAGCCAGCTGGCCGGCCAATGGCTGACTCAGCAGGACTAGGGCACCTCGGCCCGCAGCCGGCTTCTCAGCAAGCCATGACAGCCCCGAGGCTTCAGTTTTATTACTCCTTCTAGGTGGGAAATGAGTCGCTTCGCCCTGTTCTCCGTGGGACACGCGCAGTGCGTCGAAGCACCTCGGGTTCAAACACAAAAGTGTGTGAGTGTGTTGGGTGTGTATGGCTGACTGAGTCAGCCTACTGCAGATTTAGCTTTGAGTAGAAAGGGGTTGTGATGGAAGTGTGGACGCCTCCTTTCAGAGACAAGGCCGGATTGCCGCCTTCCCCCATCTCCCCCACTCCATCTGAACCGGCCAGCACCCTCCAATAATTATCTGAAGCCCTTCTTCGTGTGCCTCCCGCTGGAGAGGTCCGGAGAGTGGGCAACACGAAAATGGCCTTTTCTGCGGTGGCTCCCCATTTGTGGAATGCTCCCCCTTGGGATGCTCTTCTGGCGCCTTAATAGAGCAGCTATCCTATATCCTTGACCAAAGAACGGTACACTCCTGTTTGGGATGGTCACCCTCTTCCACGCAGCTTCCTGAGGGGGTGCACATGGAGCAGTGAGGAAGGGGAAGGGGAAGGAAGGGGACACCCGCCTAGCCACTCAGATCAGCTGAATCAACCCTGGCGATCACTGGGGTGACAGAGGCACCAGGAGAAATTTTTTCTCTTCAACCCGTTTTTCGGTTGATTAACATTCCCAGGCCCTTTTAAATGTGTTCGTGGGAGTGAAAACTATTTATTTGTTTTTGTTTCATTATGTATTATGTATTTTTCTGTTGTGAACCGCCCTGGGATCTTCGGATGGGTATACAAATTTATTCATCATCATCATCATCTATGTCTTTTAAGAGCAGCTACAGGCAGTTAAACCACAGAGCCTAGGACTTGCCGATCAGGTCGGTTTGAATCCCTGCAATAGGGTGAGCTCCCGTTGCTCGGTCCCTGCTCCTGCTCACCTAGCAGTTCGAAAGCACATCAAAGTGCAAGTAGATAAATAGGTACCACTCCAGCGGGAAGGTAAACGGCGTTTCCCTGAGCTGCTCTGGTTCGCCAGAAGTGGCTTAGTCTTGCTGGCCACATGACACGGAAGTTGTATGCCGGCTCCCTCAGCCAATAAAGCGAGATGAGCCCCGCAACCCCAGAGTCGGCCACGACTGGACCTAATGGTCAGGGGTCCCTTTACCTTTACTTACAGGCAACAGTGCAACAAATACAGCTTCCTACAGCTATGTTCAGCGCCATCCTTTTGGCGCAGCCGCCAAAGGCCAACCCCCCCCAACTGTATACAAAGTGGGGTGCCTGGGACAAGATCGCATCTTTTCCCAGTGTATCTTAAGACTGACGAATCTTAAGAAACTGATGTCCTCTGCACCTGCGCTTATCATCACCACCAGGCATGGTTAGATAGGGAACTGTACCCGGTACCTCCACATCTGCGATGTCTAATATTTGGTGGCCCATGTCAATTTCAAACAGGGCGTCTGCAAATCTAGCAGGGATGCTATCCACAAGGTCCCAGCTGCTGGTGCTTTTACTGTAATGTGTTTCCCACCCCGGCGCTTTATCTCTCTCTCTCTCCCCCTCCCTCCCCCCCTCTCCTGGCCTCCTATGCATTCCGTGAAGCCGCCACAACCCCCTTGAGCTATGCACAGAGATGCCAGCACACACTTGATAATTTTCATTCCAACTTTTATTTGAAAATAACCAGGATCCACAGCTTCATAACGCGCGCACACGCACACACATCACCACAGACACATTTCCTGAAAGCAGTCTTCCTTTTCGGTGGCAGCATTTTTAAAAAATAGGGTTCCGCTTGGGTATCTCTGGATAGTCACAGAAACCCATTTTTTATTTTTGTGGGGCAGGGGTTATGGTTATCAAACAACTTTTCGCAGACTCACGCGGACACACCCCAAATATCAAATTTGTCCTTTTATTGGAAAAAATAAAAAGCGACGGCAGCCTGTATTTGCCGAAACAATAAAAAAGTTATAAATAAGTTACCCCCTCCCTCTTCCACGAAAGGCTAACCGCAGTGCTCATTCTGGGAAGGCTCACACGTGCATTTTTAAAAGAGCCCTTTCTTCTGTATTCGGAGTACTCGGAAACTAGAGGAAAAGTATAAAGAATTTAGGAACGAAACCCTGACTCGGTTAGACATTGCCTACGTTCACGATTTCCATCAAAGCCGCCTCCCCCCCTCCATCGGAAAGAGGCTTTCATTTAAATAAATATAAAAGCTGTTTTGTCTTTTCTGTCTCCCTGTACATCTCTCTGGACTGATCTCTCGCCAGCAGGGAATCTCACCAGTTCACTGCACCTCGCATCTAGAGGCTACGCAGATGTGAAGTCAAACAGGCTTACCTCTGCGTAAATATGCGCTAGAATCGGGGCGGTGCTTTTAAAGTTATTCGTTTTTGAACGATGGATATTGCAAATAGTGATTCGCCCCACGCAAGTTCACAACCCACTTTCCTGTGATTCTATTCCCATTCCCACCCCACTCCACTAGCTGGCTTGGACTACCCTTAAGAGGCTGCGGAGGAATTCAGTCTTACGGCTGGCTGCTTACTCAGGAGTAAGTTCCCTGAAATCCAATGGGTCGATCCCTAACTTAATGTACGCTTAGAAGCGCAGGCTGCAGTCCGGCTGTGTGATGGGTTGTAGTCAACTAACTCTTACCATGATTAACTTAGGTCCATCCATTTCAAAGAGTCTACTCTGAGTAAAGGTTAATTGACCACAACCCTATGTTACCCTCCCGAAAAAACAAGACCCTTTGAGTTAAACGGGGCTTAATCTCTGCCCCCCTCCATGTGTATTTAGCTTCTGTTGAAATCAGTGGAGCTCTTAGGGTTGCCAACTTTTTACTGGCCCAGTTTTGGGGCCTTTGACAGCAGTCTGACCAAGCATCAAGACTGCTAAAGGCACAGGAGCCCCCCTTCAACAAGAAGTTGGCAACCCTGCTAAAGTTTGCAGCATACGTACTGTATACAGAGTTCTCGAGGAAGCCGTTTGGATAATCGCAGTTGCCACCCTTGCCACGCCCACTTCGGAATAAGACCCGCTGAGCAGCCTTTCTTCGGAATAAACATAGAAGACAGGACTGCGCTTTAACGACTATACCAGAGTAAGGAGTTCACCCTGGAAACTCACGGCTATAACAATGGCTTAAAATCTGCGGGTTGGGCGCGCCTCCTAGTCTTGTGAATGGGAAACAAAAACAATTGGTTGAATGCCCCCCCCAAAAACCTATCAGCAGGGTACTATTGCCAGGAGACAGACACACTCTGGTCCATTTGAAAGTTCGGGTTAAAATCAGATCGAATGACTTTGGGTTTTTGTCTCAGGGGAAATCCATCCTTAAGGCACAGAGTCTTTGTACTTTTCAGTCACTGGATTAAAAATAAAATAAAAATGTGCGTAGAGACCTTTCCCATCGCCTGTCCTCAAGTCACCCCTTCATGAGGGAGGGGGGCTTGGCTAGTTCTACGTTTACACCGGTAGGGTCTCCGTGGGATAAGGCCGATAGACCTGCTGCAACGACCCGGGCAGCCGGAGGGGCAGTAGAGCTGAGCGACGCCGAGCGGGACCCCTTGCAGCGATTCCGAGGCCGCGGTGGAAGCGGCGAGGAGGGAGGTCCTCTGGGGGAAGAGTTGTTGGGGATCCCCGGACGTCGAGGCCTCCCCCGCGGAGACCTCCAGGAGGAGCGGGTCGGGCAGCCTGTAGGAATACAGAGAAGAGGCCGCCGCGGGTGGGAACGGAGGAGGAGGAGGAAGGAGCCCGAAGGAGACGGCGGACTGGGGCAGAAGGTGAGAGTAGCCCGACGGGACGGGCCACAGCATCGCCCTGTCTCCCGCTGGGGTTGCGGGGCGCTGCTGCTGCTGCTTCCCGGACGGCTGGAAAGGGCGGCTCAAGATGCTCTCGATGGCGAAGGAGCTGGAGAATTTCGGGCCCGACGAGGAGCACGACGGCGAGACGGAGGCGGCGGCCGTCGTCGTGGCTGTCCCGGACGCCGCTGGCTGGGGCTCGTGGTCGGCGCTTGGAGAGGGCGAGGCCGAGGGCTGGTGCGCCTGGGCAGGCTCCGCGGCGCCGGGCCTGCTGAGGCGCTTCCTCCGCCTGCGGAAGACGCCGTCGGCGAACGTGTACTCGGAGCTGGGGTTGAGCATCCAGTAGTTGTCCTTGCCCCACGGCCGGGCCGGGTCGCGGAGCACCTTGACGAAGCAATCGTTGAGCGACAGATTGTGGCGCACGGAGTTGCGCCAGCCCGTGTAGGCGCCGCGGAAGAAGGGGAAACGGCCCATCAGGTACTCGTTGATCTCGGCCAGCGTCAGGCGCCCCCCGGCGGAGTCCCGGATAGCCATGGCGATCAGCGCGATGTACGAGTAGGGAGGCTTCGGGCGACGCGTGTAAGGCTTCCCCGGCGCTGCTTTCGCGTTGCCGGGCGAAGGCTCCGAGCCCTGGCGCGGAGAGGCCCCGACGCCACTGGCCGGGCTGAGGGCGGCGCAGTCACCGTCGGAGCCCAGCTCGCTGTCGCCGGGCAGTGGCGACGCCGCGCTGCTGCTTTCCTGGTCGCTGCTGAGCTTGTCCTCGTAACGAGGGGCGAAGATCTCCAGCTTCATGGTGGCGCCTCCAGCCTCGAAGGGGCCCAGCTCGGCTCCCCCCGCCCACGGGTCTCTTCTTCCCCAGGGATGATCGGTGGGCCTTCCGAGCGCAGCAATGGGGCGGTGTAGGCTCGGATCTCCGGGGAGAGGGGCCGCTAACAAAAGTTGAGGTGCATCTCTCCTTTTACGCGGTGGTGGTGGAGCTCCCCTAAGGGGCGACAGTTCCCTTTCTTCCACGGGGGAGTCACGGAATGTGTCTCGCGGCTTCAGAGCAACGTCTCCGCCTCCCTGGAGGAAGAGAGCAAAAATCGGGGTTCCCACGCTAGCAACCCTTAAAAAAAGCAGAGCCACGGGAGAAGTTTCTGAAGCCTGAATTCCTTTGGGAAAGGGTGTCGGGGCGGTATGTAGCGGTGAGGTCTCTTTCTGCCCCCTCCTTAGTTTGTGAGCAAAAAGGGGGTTTGTTTCCACACCCCAAGTCTCCTCCTTCGAAATTAAAACCAGCGCGTTGCGCTCCTAGCGCGTGGAGTCGGCTGGTTTTCAAGCGTTTTCTCTCGGCAGTCCTGGATGGTGCGTTGCTGAGCACCACCTGAATGATGATCCCTAGAAGGTAGGCTTTTCTCTTCTACCCAAAATAAGTATCTGATCCGCGTGGGGGAGGATCCTTCCGAGGAAGATGCGCGCTCTCCCCTCCCCCGCAACCGGTGGTATTTTATCTTGAGAGTCTCGGACGCAAAGCTGAAGGTAACAGGTGACTGAAGAAACTTTGCGTCAACTTTTTTTTAAACGATATATCCTGGTGGTGCGATTCTCTTTCTAGTAGTGTACTCTTAGCTCTTCATAGGCTTCCAGGGGAAGATCGGCAGCAAGTTGACTCCGGTTAGGATTTAAAAAAGAAAAATGGAAACCTGATGTGCTGAATCCGTGTCTTTCTGCTCTCCTTTCCCCCACGTTAGTGGCGCTCCCGCTTGAAGAGCCTGGCGCTTGCGAACTGTCTGCTGGCGATAGCAACCCTCGAGCGGCTGTTGTCATTAAGTGGCATTGTCATTATCTCTCTCCACTACTCTCAGGCCAGCCCATTATAACGCTCAGCCCAGTTGGGGAGGAGGAGGCGGAGCTACCCCCCGCCAGGCTTCCGAGCGGCTGCTGGGTGGAGATGCAAGGTAAGTCAGACAAAGGTGGGCATCTCCCGAGACACAGCCTGGATGACAGGGAGAGCTTGTTGGAAAGCTGGGGCGGGCAGGTTGTTTGTTTGGCTCTGGCCAAGTCCCGCCCTCTCCTTGGGGTTCCTCCAATGAAAGGAGCCCAGTCAGGCCCCACCCCTTCTCCTCCCACTTTGCATAGCAGGTTACTCTTCTCAGGTGTAAAGTGCAAATTGATTTATAGGTGGCAGAGTCCAACCTGCTGCGGGATGCTGCTTCCCCCTCCCCTATTTGGAAATTACTTTGCAATTAGTAAATAAATACACACAGCCTCCTATAGAAGGTATTGCAACACTTTCCTATTACGGTTTTGAGTTCCGAACTTTGAATTCACAACCATTCATTAGAACTGAGAGCGATTAGAGTGTCCATTCAAATGCCCACTCAGTCCTGAAACTCTCTGGTGGACCTGGGCTGAGAGTTAATGATTGACTACCTAACACAGACCCTCCAACTGTCCCTATTTTCCGGAGACAACCCCTGATTTAATCCCAGAAGGTCCCACTTTTCCTTAGGACGTCCCTATTATCATCAGAGAAATGTTGGAGGGTGTGGACTTACCTGACCCCTGAGTCATCTAAAGGCAGCCCTGCATAGGGAAGTTTTCTGTTTAATGTTTCATTACATTTTTATGTATGTTGGAAGTCGCCTGGAGTGGCTGGGGCAGCCCAGTCAGATGGGCAGGGTATAAATAGTAAAACTCTTATTATGGAATAGGACACCCCCATTTTCATCTGATAAATGTTGGAGAGTATGCTGGCAGGGTTGTTGTGAAGGGAGAGGGGTGAGCGATGCAATATGAGTCTCAAGTTCAAGGAAGGACAGGGTATAGATGCAATTAATATTCATAATCATAGGATTCGTAAAGTATTGTTTGTTCCCAATCATGGGTGTACATGGGGAGAGCAGTTTTATCCACTGTGGTCCTGCTGTGTGGTATGGTAGCTATAGCTGGAAAGACCCAGGTTTGTGAAATTCACCACGTGACCTCTTTGCAAGACCGTTGTGACAATGTAGTGAGGGAGAGACAAGGGCCATGTATGTCAGCCTGAGACCCTTGGAGGAAGATTGGGGTAAAGTTTAATAAGGTAAAGGTAAAGGGGACCGCTGACCATTAGGTCCAGTCGTGACCGACTCTGGGGTTACGGCGCTCATCTCGCTTTACTGGCCGAGGGAGCCGGTGTACAGCTGGTCATGTGGCCAGCATGACTAAGCCGCTTCTGGCGAACCAGAGCAGCACACGGAAACGCTGTTTACCTTCCTGCCGGAGCGGTACCTATTTATCTACTTGCACTTTGACGTGCTTTTGAACTGCTAGGTTGGCAGGAGCAGGTTCCAAGCAACGGGAGCTCACCCCGTTGCTGGGATTCGAACCGCCGACCTTCTGATCAGCAAGTCCTAGGCTCTGTGGTTTAACCCACAGCGCCACCCACATCCCACATAGTGAAATAAATACCTGCTATTGATAAATACTTCAGTTCAGTAGGAGTCACCATCTTCAGCCAGGAGAGCCAAATGCCGTGCAATGATTTCAAAAAAACAGGATGCTCTTAGAAGTCACTCGGTGTGCTCCCCTCCCCCCCCCCCGGTGTAGCAAAGTGACAATGGAAGCCACAAATGTGTAAGAGTGTCCCCAGGACTGACTTTATCACTGCCAGTCTGTAAATGAAAGCTGCTTGAACACATGACTGCTGTTCTGCCATTTTGTGCCAACGTGAAATAATGATATTTTAAATTGACAAATCGTATTCATGTAGTAAAATAAAATTCATTAAAAGAGTGTTGTGGTTTGTCTGGACTCACAATTCATTTTCTGTTTTTATTTGAATTGTCCACATTTATTTTCGCTTTCTCCATTTCTTACAGCTGTGAAAAATGAAACTCCAATCTTAAACATGTCAAGCACAACTTAGCACTTGGAGTCCCCTTTCCCCTTTCCTTCATTTTCCATCGGGACTTAAACATGCTTAAATTTGAGTGAATTGTGCCCACTCTTTGGAAGTTGACTTCAGTGGTAAATTCCAAATGATCCATACATTTCAACCAAAGTTAAATCACTTTTAAACTGCTTTGGATTTCAGCATGAGAGATTTTAGCACGTGCTTAGTTCTTTCATCGAAGTCAGTCTGGCTTTCCAGGTGCATAATTTGGGCTTTGTGCTTCTCCCAAAATATTATCTCCTTCTGAAAAGATTGGCTGCTTTGCTACTACTTTCCTGTGAGGTGGGGATGGGGAAGAAATGTATCCAAAAATATTGAGAGGTAGTAGGCAACGCTATGGCAAGAATCACTGTGCTGAGCAGCTTAGGATACATGCATCTCTAGTCCAGTCAGTGTTTTAAGTTCCTAACCTCTGCTCAGCTAAAGATACGTGGATCATAGGAGCCAACTCCCGGGGGCTGAGAGGTCTTTATCTCCCTCCCAATAAAATATTTGAGGGGGCCCCCAAAGTTGATAGGCATTGTCATTGGAATGGTGTGCATACACCACATCATGTGATTGATTATGTGGGGCAGGGCTTACCTGCCCCTCCCAATAATTTGTCCAAGTTGGCACCCCTGTCCCAGCTCAACTGGGGCTGAGCCAAAGATAGCTGAGCTGAAGCAGGTATAAGTCCCTCAAATGGGGCTGGAACAGAGAGGGTGCACTTAGTCTATTCAGCTCAGTCACGTGACCTGGTCACTTGGCCTAAAACACTCTTTGAAAGGGTTGTCCCTCTGCTAGGCTTAGGCAGAGCAGCAGCAGCCCCAGTGCTGAATGGGGTTTAGATCTGGTGTAACTTTATAATAATTATAATACAGTGGTACCTCGGGTTAAGTACTTAATTCGTTCTGGAGGTCCGTTCTTAACCTGAAACTGTACTTAACCTGAAGCACCACTTTAGCTAATGGGGCCTCCTGCTGCTGCTGTGCCGCCGGAGCACGATTTCTGTTCTCATCCTGAAGCAAAGTTTTTAACCTGAGGTGCTATTTCTGGGTTAGCGGAGTCTGTAACCTGAAGCGTATGTAACCCGAGGTACCGCTGTAATAATAATAATTTATTATTTATACTCCGCCCACCTGGCTTGGTTTCCCCAGCTACTCTGGGCGGCTTCCAACAAAGTATTAAAATACAGTAGTCTGTTAAACATTAAAAGCTTCCCTAAAGAGGGCTGCCTTCAGATGTCTTCTAAGAATCTGGTAGTTGTTGTTCTCTTTGACATCTGGTGGGAGGGTGTTCCACAGGGCGGGTGCCACTACCGAGAAGGCCCTCTGCCTGGTTCCCTGTAACTTCACTTCTTGCAGTCAGGGAACTGCCAGAAGGCCCTTGGAGCTGGACCTCAGTGTCTGGGCAGAATGATGGGGATGGAGACGCCCCTTATGGTGGCTTAAGTTACACCAGTGTGCGTTATGGCAGCTTCTTGTGTGCTCCCATAGTTGCTCTTCCATTAATGGGTCTCTTGCCAGGAAGTAAGGCCCATGGGAAGCTATGGCGCACAAGAATCTTGCTGCACCTCTCACTGGTCGTGCCACTCAGCATGCCCTGGGAGAAACATCCTTCTGTCATGTTTGCTTTAGTTGAGATTCCTGCTTTACAGAAGGCTGGACTAGATGAACCTAGGAATCCCTTCGAATTCTACAGTTCTATGATTCTGTGATTATGCTATGTGTTGGTATAACTCCTAAGGCATTCTAAGAAGTGCACCTGTCAGTAAATTGTGAAAAAAGCATTTCTTTAAATGAAAAAAATCCAAAAGCAAGAAAAAAATTGCCTCTTCATGAGGTTAACTAAGGTAAGTGGAAACCCCTTCCTAAACATTTCAGAGAAATTTCTACCTCCACTTTCTTGATCTTTTGGGCAGGTTTTGATTTGCCCCCGGAGAATAAATTTTCAGCGCAGCCCATTTTAAGACTGGAATGTTGCTTAAACTGGGGAACACTACGAGGTTCGCTAATGCAAACCAAAGATTGCATGCTATACTTGCAGAGAATCTGGCCTTTTGCCATTTCAGAATGTCAGTGGCAATGTCATTTCAGGAAATTGGCTTAAATACAAAGATGTCGGCTTCAAGAGTCTTGTGGCTAATGTGAAATATGTCTGTTAAGTGCATTTACTTGAAAGGAAGTCCTACGAATTTCAGGGGAGATTCCAACCAAGTAAGTATTCACGTGACCCAATCCTAGGCGTGTTTTCTCAGAAGTACATTCCACTGAGTAGAATGAGGTTGACAGTGCAATCCTATAATGTCTACACAGGATCAATGGAGTAAATGGGCACAGGACCAGATTCTTAATCTCAGAAACCTGAGTTCAGAAGTGCTTGTTTAGGATTGTATCCTTAGGCTGCATGTAAATCTCAATTATATTTGAAAGCAATTAATTTAATAAATGATGTCCTGACAAAAAATAAGTGTAGTATCATAAAATTAACGACATACACATCCTTCTGCAAATGCTGTACTGGTGGATTTCCAACACACTCTGATGGATGTCCCAAGACTGGCTATGGTTCATCTCTGATTTTTGAAGTTGCTGGTGAAAGATGCTACATTCTTTGCAAGATTGATTAATAATGTGAAATAGCTTTCATACATCAAGTTATCCATTGTGTTAGGTACATCATTATTTATAACTGTGACCGTGACTAATTTTCCAAACGATACCTGGTCATATAGGTAAATACAGTGGTACCTCGGGTTACATACGCTTCAGGTTACAGACTCCGCTAACCCAGAAATAGTGCTTCAGGTTAAGAACTTTGCTTCAGGATGAGAACAGAAATCGTGCTCCTGCGGCGCGGCAGCAGCAGGAGGCCCCATTAGCTAAAGTGGTGCTTCAGGTTAAGAGCAGTTTCAGGTTAAGTACGGACCTCCGGAATGAATTAAGTACTTAACCTGAGGTACCACTGTATGCTTTATGCTAGACTCATTCACCATAGCATCCTTTGTCAGCAGTACCTAAATATGAGGTGGGCTCAGAAGCACCCCTGCTTTAAAATTCCCTTCTGCTGGAGGTT